AAATGAAAAAGCCCATTTAACTAAGTATAAGTTTTGGCTTCTCTTTCTCTCTTCTAGAAACTCAACTGGTAAAAGTAACCTTGGCATTGAAAGGAACTCACTAATTCTGTTTCAGGATTACATGATTACATGAATCTACACATGTGATAAAATGACACAATTACACAGCCGTACTATACTAATGTCAATTTTCTGTTCTTTTACAATATTATGCTTTAGTTATTTAAGATGCAACCAATGGGGATAACTAGGTGAAAGGGATACAGGACAACTCTGTACTACCTAGGCAACTTTCTGTGACTGTTTAATTATTTCAAAATAAAAAGTAAAAAAATAAATAAAAAAGGAATTAAGACTGTAATTTTAAAAATACATACATGTATATGCATTTATATCTATGTATATCCTATAATGCTTTTTATAAGTAGCCACTTTCAAAAAATAGGTAAACCATATATACATTATAAAATTCAAAAGGAATAAAAGAATATTTCAAAAAATAAAAAAATATATGCAGAATAGTTTCAGTGCAATGCAGGCTCAAACACACACTTCAGTGAGCAGAAAGGAGTCTTTCTGATTAGAACAACTTTGAATTTGGGCTAACTCTGGCCAACATATTCATCCAAGTCTATCTCCACTTCTGCTAGTAAATGATGAAAGTTGATTGTAAAATGTCTCTGTCATCAGTAGAAATAAAGGGTAGAAACATAATGCATCCAAGAGACAGGGAGTTGCTTAAATAATGCATAACACACAGATAATCTGTGGGAATCTGTACATTCCAATTCACTGAGACATGGATTCACTAGTGATACACAGAGTTGGCTCAGGTTCTATTTATGGAAGGTGAAATCCCTTCAAGTTTCCACCAAAACCTCTCATGTACTGGGAATAAGGCTGGAATTCATCACAAAACAAACAACTTCGCTTATTAAAAAGCACTAAAAATGGAAAATGCACTATGTTTCACACTCTAGGCTAGAAGCTTATTAATGAAATTAAATAGGATACAGTCCCTACCTTCAAGGGACTCACTGTTCAGTACAACAGACAAATATTTAAAACAAAATATATGGGTAGCACATAGCCTGTCATCTTCCACCAAAGAAATATGGATGAGGCCCATTGGTAGCTTAAAGTGGGGAGAAATAATTATTCTGGCAGAAGGCAGCCAGGAGCTAGGGCAGGCCTGGCAGAGCAGGTGACATTGGCTCCAGGCCTGGAAAGAGAAGTAGAAGTTCACTTGGTGGGTAGGGATGGGACACAGGAGAGTACAATAAGCAGACACAGCCATGAAAACCCAAGATAACTAAATGTATGGCTACTATATATTGATTGAAAACATGTTTATGAAATTCAATACTATCTTTCATTGTAAAGCTCATATTAAAGTTTGCTCTTTACAGAGATGCAACATATGCATCAACTCTTTTTTCTAATAAAAGTATCATTTATTCCTTAAAAGCAATTATTCTGAGGTAGCTGCTGTATTGTGTAATCCTCTGGGGTCCTGCACAGTTATGGAGTTAAGGTTAATGAAGTTTACAGTCTCTGTAACTCCAGCCCACAAACAAGCACCTAGAGTTAGCCAAAACCTTCGACTATGTTACTAGGCTGGAAACAACAATTGACAGACCTAAATAACACCACACTTCGAGGCACAGAGCCGTGGGCACATGCCAGACACCGCAGCGAGCATCAGGCAGGCAGTGGGAGACGAAACAGGTATGGCCCTGTCCTCACACAGCTCGCAGTTCAGTGGGGAAAGGCAGAATCGGGTTCAAACACATTTTTTAAAATCATGGTTAAATATTTGCCATATTTAAATATCTTAAACGAGGAAAAAAAGCAAATGGTGTTCTGGAAAATGAAGTACAATCCACTTGAAACTGTTGCTGAAAAATGATGTATTGTACAATTCAATTAGTCGTTCTGGCTCTATTGAGCAGTGTTTACACTGAGTCAGGGCCCTGCTGCGTTAGGTTAACAATGCTACCTTTTAGTAGGTGAACAGGAGGACAAAGGGCACTGGCCAGTCTTCCAGGCCTTAAAAGGCTTCTCTCTTCAGGTGGCACTTAAGCCCGAAAGGGAGGGAAAAAAAAAGTCTTTTACAGAGACAGTAAAAGCAGTAAGACAAATGGGACAGCAGCTACTGACATCAGCATTCATAAACTGAAATTGCTAAAAACAAAAACAGAGCTAGTTTCAATAAGGTCTGAGGCACTATTTCACGAGGTTATTAACTAGGTTAAGAATACAGAGCGCATTGTGGCCGTGGCTGCCCGAGGAGGGGAGCAAGTCCCCGCCCCGCGGAGCCACCTGGGGCAGCGAGGCTGAGCAAGTGCTCCTTTTTGAGAGTGAGTCATTTGCCGGTGAGGAAATGCTTGCAAGAACTCAAAAGTTGGCGTGAAATGCCATTTTTTGCCAAATAGAGCACTTTCCCCTCTAAGTTCCAATGGCTCTCCACACTGGTATGAGGATTCCACTTTCAAACTCAACCGTCATCTAACAGCTTTTTAAAAAAGAAAATGTTTCGAATTATATATAGTCACCCAGGGAAGGAAGCCAATGACATTCTTAGGTGATAAAGTTTATATGACAGTATGTTTCTTTCTAGTTAACATAAATATTATGTGATTTATATGTAAACGCTGACTATATTTCACCTAAGAGCTGAGAGCTACTGTCCCACTCCCTGCCAACCAAACGCATGGAGAACGTACAAGGCCGGGGCGCTGCTTCTGACGCATGTGAAAACTCGGCCCACAGGTGCGGATGGGTGAGCCCAATACTCTTCCTTTGTAAAAGATGTTTACAGGGTCAACATAGTTCACTTACCTATTGACCTATTAGTACTTTACTAGATAATGCTTAATGCTTATTATTAATAATATAAATGAAATTCTACCCATTGCTCTTCTACCTTGTAACAGAATAGTTTGAGCTGTAAGAACTCAAACCTGTGACTGCGTTGCAGTTTGTGAACTGGTCCTGCCTTCGCAGCCCTGAGTCTCCGTGAGCTGAGCGAGTGCAGGGGGAGGACGCCCGGGGGCGACAGGTGTCCTCCCCACCCCACACCCCTAAGGCACTGCAGCAAGCAGCACCACGAGGTCATAATTAGCTCGAAATTAATAATGACCAAACCTGCTACATACACATATGTATTTATAAATAAACACACACCATTTAATTTGAACATTAAGCATCCTTTGTACATAGAATTACTATTCTGGTGACAGCTACCCCTTAAAAACAGAGGGCTCCAGTGGTGTTCAGGTTCACACGATTCTGAGAGGGAGGTTGTAGAAGAGTGCGCTAGTACATTCCCCCACAAAAAGAGCCCTGGGTGCTAATGCGATGGGGCAAAGGGAATGTTTAACCACAGACAGCAAGTTGGAGACGATGTGGCAGTGGCGGCAGCCGTGAGGACTTCAGTTTTTGTTAAAGGAGGAAAGTGTATCAGAATAAAACAGATAAGAACACACTCTAAGGATAGCAAGGATTGGTACAGATGATCTAGTTCAGTTTTTCTCAGCCTGTGTTCCAAGGAATACTAATCCTGCAAAAAAGAAGTTCTGAGGTCCCATAAAAAATATGCCACACGTCACATTTTTCTCTTGATGACTCAAGTGCAGCAAGTTGGCATGTTAAAGCCCTGGGACATCGTGTATTAGAGAAAAGCCACTCCCCCCCAGCCACTTCCCAAACCTACCTGACTGCAGGCAAGGCAGCTGTTTAATGTGGTACAGGCTGTATGGGGGTGGGGCGCGTGGAGGGAGGTGAAATCCAGCCTGGGCTCCACTACCAACAGGAGGAAGGGGTGTCTTTGTCTAATTCGGTTCATCCTCTTGCCAAGCTGTGAGCTCCCAGGACTGTGTTCTCCTGGAGGGGCCCTGTTCAGACTATACAGCTGACCTCCCTGTGGCCCAACTGTGGGACCCCCTTTCTGAGTAACTACTGTTAGCATGCACGCAGCTTGTTAATGTTCCAGGGACCACACTTTGAGAAATGCTGACCTGATGTAAAAAAGAAAATTGAGTCCAGAGAGCTTAGGTGACTTATTGTGGCAGATTTAGAACCAAAACTTCGATCTCTGGATACTCTGTGTTTTTTAGTACTGTTTACATTCACAGTTTTCTATTTTTCCATAATTCTACCATAAACTATCTCCTCTTCACTCTTTAAAAGAGAAAGGGTATCCTTCCTCCCCCCTGCAGACAAACAGCAAGCTAGTGGGCTACGGACAGACTAACCTAATATAACTAGGCGATACACTGGCATGCAGGTTCCCACTTGATTTTAACTCTAAAACAAACACTAAAGTCCAGTCACACTTGATTGATCTAGAAGTCTCTTAGTTGTGTATTCATTTGCTGTCTCTCTGCCTCAGGAGAAACGCTCGAGGCAGAGACTGTGCACCAATGCCTGGAATGCTGAGCACAGTCTCTGTTCAATAAATGCTTGTTGAGCAAATAGACGAGAACTTCACAATACTCTGGCTGTGACTTTGAACCACACACCATTACCTTAAACACACTCCTCACAGCCCGGTTATTTGTTACTAAGCTCACAACTTATTCAGAGGTAACAAAGCAGAAAAGGGAAAGGACCCAAGAGGCGGCACAGTGACAAGAGGCGTGGCGGCTGATGCCCTGGTACGGAGGGAGGAAAGGCACCTGCAAGGAGACACGGGGAAAAGGACAGCGTGCAAGCCCGGCCGCGGGCAGTTGGGCAACATCCCTCCCTCTGTGCGGAGGTGCGCACCTGCATCTCGAAAATTATCTGCAGGGTGCCTCACTCAGAAATGAGGGAACTTATATTCAAAGTGATGTATAAATCTACTTACTGAATCGCTGTCTATAAGAGCAAAAGACTGGGAAAACCTCAATGTCCATCAGAACCCCCTCCAAAGGTCAGGCTGGATACACTGGTGAGTTTGCATGTGTAAAATTCATGATGGAATCCGGAGTGGCTGTATATTTTTCTAAAAAGCCCCAGGAGGAGTCTGATGCTCTAAATGGAAGCTGCCCAAGAGGAGCCCCTACACTGCATCGCCTGTTGCCACATCTACGTAACAATCAGACGTGTGTGATCCGCTTGCCCGAGGGAGGAAGAACAGAGTGGGCAGGAGAAAGAGGTGAGAGGGAGATTGTCTATGTGTATATGCTCTTTGTACTTTCTGAATCTTGAAACTTCTGGAAGTATAGTCAAAATAGAAGAATAAAAGTATACCAGCACAAGGCAATGTCTTTACAGCAAAACAGCCTCTCATACCACATTCATGCACGTTGAAGTTTTCCATCACAGGACAGAACAATGTAATTCTACATAATTGTAATTCTGAGGCATTGAAAAACAGTAATTTCTAATACATATTTTCTTAAACAATATATGGAGCTAAGTGACAGTTAAAATTTATAAAATAATAAAAATAGTATTACATTACTGCAAATTTGGAGAATAAAAATTGAAAAAGGAAAAAAAAAATGATCACCCATTATCTTACCACAGTCAAATAACCACTTATTGCTTTGGCATAAGGTTTTCTTCCAGCATTTTTTCCCATCTCTGAAAAGCCATGGCGAAAGCCTTAATGAAATCAATCCCAACCACAATACTTCTTGGTCCTGTTAAAACAGGCACTGCGGGCTAATGGAGGAGGAATCAGGAGATCTTAAGTTTAATTACAATTTGTTCTCAAAATCTCCAAATGGCTCTGAACAAGTGGTTTTCCCCCTCGGCGAACGGCTCTCCAGCTCTGCAAGGGCAACAGCGTCCGCCTCGAATACCTCTCAAGATAATAGAGACAGGAAATGGTTTATGTAACATGGAAAACCCCTAGCTAAATGGAATGTGAATATTCAGGCTAGGATACAAAAATATTTTTTAAAAGCACAATGAAGGGGCACTATTAGGGAGAGTTGAGGCTAAGTCCGAGTTTCTCACCACCTCTTTGTCATGCTTGGTATTTTCAAATGATGGTGTGGGGGGGTATCTTTTGTCAAAGAGAATTTCATTAGAAAATGGCTATAGAATTTGAGGATAGGGTTTAGCTGCTGGGTAATCCTGGAGCTCAATTCAATTTGCAGGATGTACACCGGAAAATAGATGAAATCCTGCTTTAAAAATAATTAGGATTATTATTACCCCAGAGGACAGACAAGGAAACGCTTAAGATGACAGATTTCATCCTGCTCTGCGAAACCATTTTTTCACTCCTTTAAATGGATAGGCAAGCCAGTCACGTACTTGCTATTAGGGACAGCAGGCAGATCTCATGGAAAGATGTCTGGTTTGGGAAACTGATAGGTCTGAATTGATCCTCACAATTAGGAACATTAAGTTAAATCCTGCGTTTGAGCAAAGACAGACAGACACTGCACTAAATGGAATATACTGCAGTTACCTAATGCCCGTGAGAGATGATCCAGATAAAATCGACCGGCTCTGTTTTTGCTTTAAAATCTGCTCTCGTCCGCTGACATCCCAAGAAGGAGTGGTCTGACAAAGGAGATTTTCCTCACGTGCAACCCGGATGAATTGGGGTACCCAATATCTCCCATTAGTTACTATCCTCTCAGAATCAGACCCTGCCATCGGAATGACCACCACGGCAAAATGCTTGCCACGTAAAAGACCCCCGTGTCAGTGATGGCTAAACTGATGGTGAACGCTGAGGGTGGCCTCTACAGCTCACTGTGGACAGAGACCTGATTGCTTCCTTCATTTCACGTCTTCATAAACTGTGCCCCAATTTCTCATTTCCCTCACTCAGTGACACCTTTTCTGCTTTAGCTCCCCTGATTGGCATATATACTGCTGGCAGGTGCCACCAGCCTAAGCCCTCAATGATTACGGGGCTGGGACTGCCTCACTCACATGCTCTTACACACCTCTCATAGCTGTCAAAGCCCCGCTCCAAGCAGATTAATCTAAACTGTCTAAGCCAAATCCAACTGGTGTTCTTTCCCTCTAAATACGTTTTTATCTAATACACACATGGCAAATATATTTATAGCCTTATTCAGAGTGTCAAGTACAAGATGCAGAGGAGAGGATGATAACTCTGCATGGCAGAGGGGAAGGAAAGAATCAGGAGAGGAAATGGGGTTTCAGCTGGGTTTAGGATGTGCCATTCAGAACGAGGGCAAGAGGAAGAGAGAGGTGTGAAATGGCGTGGCAGGACGGGGAAAGAGCAGGAGTGTGCCCTTACTGAGGAGACTCATGGGGGCGGGGACGTAGTGGATGAAGGGGCTTGAAAGGCAGGGACTAAAGATCACAAAGATCTTTATGCCAAGCTAAGAGATTTGTGTTTACCTTAGGTACAAATAGGGTAAAAGCTGGCATTAACTGAGCACTTACTATATACCATGCACTGCAGTAGGTGCTTTCTGTCAAACATTTATTTAAGCAAAGAGCAATCTTATGAAATAGGTACTATTATTATCTTCACTTTGAATGTGAAGAAACTGAGACTGAGGAGGGAATGAAATTTACCCAAGGTGAGTTTAGGACTTTTTTTGAACAAATTTTTGGGGGGCAAATTAGAACTTCTTTGAAATATTACTGGTGCAAATTTTAACTTTTTTGGAATATTGCTAGGGCAAGACTTGAAGGCAGGAAGCACAGATAGAAAGCTACTGACTTCCTCCACATGAGTGAGTGATGCTGAGGATTCAAGTTCGTGTGCTAGAGCCGTGGGTACAGTGCACAGTATGACCTCAAGAGCTAAAGTTCTGCAGTTGACTTCTGCTAGCTGATTAGGCAGACCAGGGGTTCTCCCAGCCCCGGCAGTGCTGAATGGTGGGGCCATGTGCACTTGGGGTGGGGGGGGGCATTAGGTGAGGGTCAGAAAGCCCACTTGGGGTATACTGAGGTTGAGCACCCACAGGACGTGTAGGTATTCATATTCATATCTCACAGCTTCAGTTTTCTCCTGAAGGAGGCAAGGTCATAAACCCAGGATTAGGATGAGGCATCTTGAAGACAGTGAAGATGTGGATGGGTATTGAGGAGGAAAGGAGACGGCGCTGCCCAGGGATGTGAGCCAACTGATCACTCACAATTTCCGTGTTCGTTTACGACTTCAGAGATTACAGGTGGGTCACAGCTGTAGTCCCCTTTCCACCTACCTTGCTCCCAGGTGATATAGCTACATGAAAACAAGTCTCAGACATCTAGTAGCAAGGAGGTGAACAAACCAATTATACAGCCTGTTTTTGTTCATAGCACCTGCATGGAAGGGTCATTCAAAACGGATGTGACAATATTCAGGCAGAAGGATCAGAAGAGCTCCAGTCAGATCAGGTAACAAAGTTCTCTATTGTGTGGCAGGCACAAGACCAAAAAAGAATCCTAAGCCTGAAGTACCACTCCATCGCGGGGTTAGATTCCTCACCTTGCCAACGTCTGGTTCCTGGTTTCTGCAAGAGTGGAAATGCTGTACAATGTAGCTAACCAGTCCACAGATCTCGAAGACAACTAGGTTGAAAACTAAAGTTGAGATGCCCATTAGGCAATTAATTCCACAGATCTCACTTTCAAGAGCAAAACTGAAGCTGGAGAGAAAAGTGGGAATCATCAGCACTCGAGTCCTGGCAGTTCCAACCACAGAAGGGAGGGAGATAACGCAAGACAGTAGAAAGTGGGAAAAGGTCTTACGGCTTTTGTGAGACTACCTAGTCAAGTGTGCTTCACATTCTTACGCACGGGATGGCATGTGAACAGACTGCCGTTAGGAAGGGGACCGGCTGCTGGCCTACCTACCTTGTATTTCGAAGTGTCCCAGTTGTGGACTATGCGTGCCGGGATGAGGAAGCTGTCGTCCACGTGGCAGCTGCTGCAGTAATACCAGCCGCTATAGTTGCACACCTTGGCCTTCCCGTTGGAAAGGCCTATGGATCGCTGGCATCCTGTTCAAGCAAACACAGAAGTCTGTGATTATTGTACTGTACAGCACAGGACCAGACTATACAACCCTCAGTTTAAACAAAGTTCCGCAACAGGAAAGAAATCGCAGAGAATCCACATATAGATAAGTGTGTCCTCCCTCCTCGCCCAGCAGCTTCCATTGGTCCCGTTTCTGGCCTCTCCTGACTGCAGCTCTTCAGCATGCAGCTGCCACCGGTCGGTCTCCCCACAAGCCCACTTTTGTCTCCTCGCTGCCCTCCTCAGACACTCTACGTCCACAAGGCACTCTGTTGGGGCTTCTCATAGAGGACGTCACATGGGCCACACATCTCTGTGGGAGAGATGTTACCAGCTCTGTGTCCCAGGTGAGTAGACTAAGGTTGTAGCCAGGTTAGGTGTTTTGTCTTGAGGTTACCCAGTCAACAGGGGGCAGAGCTGGACTTGGCTCTGAGCTTGTCTGACTCTCAAATAACCCTGAAAACTAGTATGTAGCTTCGCTTCCAAAGTCAATGAAAGAAGCGTGTCCTCTGATTGGCCCCCATCTCCCCTTTCTGACGACCCACTCCTACCACTCTCCACTGGGAATGTAACCTCTTTATTCCAGTCAGAGAACTCTCCACACCGTTTCCCGAGTAAACACAGTGTGCTCACTCCACCCTCCATATCTTGGTACATATTGTTTCTCCTTACACAAGGCCCTCTTCTCTGATCTCGACTTTGCTGAGTCCTGCCAACTACTCAAAGTCACTGGTTGCCTACAGGTCCTTGCGAAGGCCCTCTTTGTGACCAAGGAAGTCCATGGTCTGTGAGCGCTGTCCTGGTACTGTCGGGGAACCTGGTGATGCTCACGGCTCTGCCGCCAAGAAGACACTAGTTTCCTTTAGATGGAGGAGCTACCTTCTACTGATGAGTAGAGAACTCTGTCATAATCAATCCAACGGACAAAATCCAGACAGGTGGTAATCACGATTACATAAACAGCAGCACTTTCCTGACACTTTTGATTTACAACTTTCATTTTAGAAATCCTTCCATATGGCCCATGTCATGGCTGAGTGCTAAGAAGTACATTTATCAAAAAAATCTCATATTAAGCCTATTTTGTGATATGGGTATAAAATAAATTACTGCTACTATTAATAATAATGATGATATAATGATCAGTGTTGTACTCCATTTCCATTAGCAAGAGCTAAAACACACTTAACAAATTGCCAACCTAAGAAGATACTGATTCACATGAACTGCATGAATAAAAGGATCACAAAGCTCACAGAACTTTCATTTTCATTAGAAATGAAACGGCATGAGTAATCGAGCAGTTTCACAGTGCATCCACCACAAAGAGAATGAGATCCTACTGTTTTTAAATATGGGAGGTATTGAGAGACAGAAAGTAAATGTGTAGGTATTATACTTCAAGAGCTCAATACTCTTCCTTCCTAAAAGAGCTATTTCTTTACTATTGAGTAGCAACAAAATCCTAGCAGGTTCCTGTTTTTCAGACTGGCCGCGGAGTGAGGTACGTGTGAAAGGCAAGGAAGAACCAAACTTACGCACTGCTCCTGCTGGACATGCAGGAGGCGCTGTCCCAGTCACTGGGCCACAAGCTCCAGGCGCTGCCTGCGGCACTCACTGACCATACTGCCCTTCTGGCATGCCGCACATGTCTCCTTACACGAGCGGGCCTTTTTATGTGCTTGTACGGCCAGAACCATACTATTATCTTCTCAGATCTGTTTTTTATCCTCAGCACTTCACACAAAGCTTTGCATATAGCAGACCATCAACAAATGTTTATGTTGAAGGGATGATAAACTGAGTATTACTTAGCACACATCCAGCCACGTGCATATAAAGAGATTTTAATTTCCCATAGCAGTTCTAGAGCTGACCCTCCTAACATGGTCAACTGCCTCTTGAAACAGCCTACTTTTGTTAATTTCCCTATGAAAATGTGTTGTCTGTGCTAAGATTTACACATTACACATGCGTTCATACACAGAAGTTGAAAAAGAGTTGAGTGGATCTTGACACATTCTAGACACTGGGCCATTGCAGTTTCCAAAAATCAACAGGCAGGCAAATTGACTCAATGCTGAAATGACAATGGATAGAATTCAGTCTTCCCTAATGATTTAGAAAATAACCGTGATCTTGTACAAATTCAGAATCATTCTTATAGTTGAAACTCACTGGCGAATACTGTAAAGTACATTTAGGTTATTTTAGCTTTTTGGTTATTTGATGGATATAATACACGTTAGTAAGCATTTGCCGGATATTTACATATGCTGCAGTAGGTATTACTGAGTATATCAACCTATACTTTTTAATGACTTTATTATAATTTTCTAGGTACTATTAAAATACACAAGTGTGCATGTTAAGAAAGCATATAGCCTACAGATGTGTATATCAAACCAGGCACACAGGTCCAAAGCCTAACATTCTGGGGGCTCGATAACAAATGAGCTGAACATCCTCGCTTGTTTGTAGAGGTCTCCAGGCTCATACAAGAGGGAAAAGCTGAGACAACACAGCTCAGGCTCACTCGGGTCTCAGTGTGTAGACAGGAGCACCAGCATAAAAACTCCGATCTCTCATTCTTGGGGTCTTTACCTTCAACCTTATTTAGAACCATGCTCTCCTACTCTGGGTGCTGAAACCGCCCCTAATAACAGAAGTGGGTGTCAACCTATCTGCACACGCAGGGCTGTGTCGGATACGAGGTGTGTAGAAGAGCGCAAGCCGAGAGTCGGGAAGCCTGTTCTCGCCTCGGGTACAGTTAAGTCGGACCCGTCAACTCTTTAGGCCTGCTTTCCTCACCACAGAATTAATGGGTTAGCCTGCATTGGTGGTGTGCCAAATTCAGTGAGCATGAGAATTTTGTAGAGATGTTTGTGAAAAGTGTAGACCCCCCACCCCCAGAGATGTTGATTCTGTAGCTCTGGGGTAGGGCCTAGGAACTGGCATTTCTACCCAACCACCACCAGGGACTGAGGCATGTAAAAGCTGGGCATTGCTCCCCGATTTCTAGGTGACTGCAAAAGTCTCTCCAAGCTCTGCATTTCTACTTCTAGGCAAGCAAAGTGCAGAGGGTGTGCAAATCATGAGCTCAGTGAAAAGCTCATAATTTGTCACATAGTTTATTTTCTAGGCTGCCAAAATCAACAGTTCAGGTTCTGTCTATTTCCAAAAATTTACTATGTAGAAACAACCTGAGTTCCTTTTGCCAGTGTTTTTCCAGAGCATTCATTGTCCCCACTGAGAAGAATCTTATTTGACTTACAAAGAAATAAAACTTTTAATCTTCAAATCCAATATATTTATCATTATAAGAACACAGGATGGTTGGGAAAGAAGATTAGAGGCTAGCTGGTAGCCTGATGCAGATTCACTTTATAAAAACAACACACACCATTTATTTGAAGAAGGAAACACCCATTCTTTCAATTAACTGCCAGATTTCCTTCTTTAATATTATACTAGCAAATCATAGACTAAAAACGTCTGAAACAATTCCTTATAAAGATACACAATCTGGGATTTCACTATCATTATAAAGTTTTCAGGAGAGGGGAAAATGTGTTTTCTTAATAATTACTGTTAGAAAAACACATTTTTTCTTGGAGGGTACCAAAGCTGGACTCTGACAAGCAACGTCACGGGGAGAAAAATAGAGCTGCAAAGCAGAAACAAAATATAATTAATTGAAATAACTAATTAGAGCTTATTTACATATTATATTTGTATGTACCTTCCAATAGACTTTTCAACAATGTTTCTAAATTAAAGGGCATTTGTAGTAGAGAACACTCCACATGTTGGATCAAAGCAAATACATTCTTCCCAGTCCCTTTTTGAAACTTTTCAGAGAGTGTATTCAATTCATAGGAACAAAAAACTATCTCACAAGAGAACCCACTGGCCTTTTTTTTTTTATTGCTTCCCACCCCACTTCAAATCTTTAATGAACACATTCTCTGAAGAGCTTGGCTTCCCTCTGATACACTTTGGGAAACAAATGTAACCATTTAACCGAAATTCTATTTGCTGCATGTAAGTCCATTTCCCAAATGGCCTTTTAAGACACCCCAAAGAATCTGTTGCTGGGGGCTGAAGCAGAAATTTTGGCATAATTCTCCACAAAGGCACAATCTTTCTTCTAACAAGTGTACCCAGTTAGCTCAATTGGCTGCAACACGCTGTTACTGAAGCTGGGGTCTGAGGAGGAGCCAACCACGTTTTCTCTGCTTCATGGCTACCAGCTCCGCCCTCTGGCCCCGGACCAGCAACTGGAGAATTCATGGGTGTAAGAGAGAAGTAACAAGGGCTGTGGCTGGATCCAGGTGAATCCCTGTCACTGGAGAAAAACACACACAATGCTTTCTGAGTGTGCGCAGCCCTGCTACCACTTTACCCAGTTTGGTCATGTAAATCCAGTGTTTGTATTTGGAAGGTAAAAAGCTCTACGAGGAGAACAGGGGCAAATAAAAAGAAAAAAGAGAAGGTATCTCTATAAAACACAGTCAAAGAGATTCAGAGTGAGGGGACAGATTCTCATCTGCTCTGTTAAAATAGAAAAAATAAAATGGGTAAGTTTTATACCCTCTTTTACTGCACGCCCACAGGGTAAGGGGAGGTGGCCATAGGGGCAGGGGAGGGGGACTGCCCTGCCCCTCCCTCCTCCATGCTGTCCGGTGTCCTGGCCCCAGACGGGAGCTGTGGTAAGCATTGTGCAAAGTGTGGCTTGCCGGCCT